AATAAACATGCTTAAATCTAATAAGTCTAACGGCATTTTCCTCATGGGTCTCTCCAAGGTGAAATACAATAATGTAACTAAGGAGACATACCGCATATATGGACACACTTGTATTTGCTGGTTTCGTACATTTGAATATTCATTTATAAGGAATGAGATCTCAGTCAGATGCTTGTTGCACTAATTTTCACACAGCTCCTTCACCCGCTGCTGTGTGATGTCATCCGATGAATGTGCTATTGCTGTACTAATGGAGAGAATGCCGTGGGTCAAACTGAATGAGCTACCCTTTTTTCAACACTTCCTGTTAAAGCCGTTACAACCATGACTCATGCTAAACGACACAAGTTATCAGCTGCTTCCTATGAAAAAACAAGCTTTGAGGAAGTCTTATTGTTTCTGCCGATACGTGCGCAATCTGTTTCCCAGAAAACTTCCTCCTGTTATAGTGCATGGAGTTCTTGTATAGTGCATGGAGTTCGATAGCCCACCGGGGGACTCTTTCCTCTGCATTGAAGTCCATGAGTAACTTCTGTCCAATGAGTGTTGACAACAGTATTGAAGCAGCTCTTAGTACAGCTTTCTTCTCGGTGTAACCTTCACCTATGTACAAGTAAGGCCACAGGAAGTCCGAGTGAAAGGCGGAAGGTGTGGGCTCAAAAGAAAAGCTCTGGCTGTGTGTGAACTTCGAAACATTTTTGTAGTTCTTAAATCCTTTCCCAAGGGTTGGATAAACTCACTAACCTTGGAGTCATGACAGGAAACAAACAGGAAACACTATATTTGCAGTAGTTAGTTCATACTTTGCTGTTAAATACCCCATAACTACTTGCATTGTTCTTTTGTCTTGATCAGTGATGCGTTGTTTCATGCAGCATTCAGCGACGTTCCACAATCATTTTGGCAAAAGAAAAAAGTATATATTTTTAAATTTACTCTATAAATTATAAAATTCTCTAAACTGATTAAAAACAAGAAAAACAAGACTATTTACATTTAGTCGTTTCATGTTCTAAAATATGAATATGGATGGATGATCTTTAAAGAGTCTTGTTTGAGACAGAGGCAGACATTTGTCAACGGGCCGAAAATACATGCGGAAAATGGGTGTTTTATTTAAATATACTAACTAGATATAGTAGCAGACAAGAGAGAAAAAGGTGTCTTCTTTGAAAACATACTTGATTACAACCCGTTGACATAAACAGATTTATAAGTTTGAGCTCTTGGAAGGCGGAAACGCGCGCAAATAACAACAGCAGTAACTTTAATCTATGAGGTGGATATTGGAGGAGGATTTTTCTTTTTGAAAGCCTGTGCCTTTTTGCAAACATTATCATAAAAAGCACAGCGAGTCTGACACTTCTGCAGGTAGTGTCTTTAAAAATAGCTTCTTTAAAGCATAGAAAATCACAGGCAGACAGACTGGAGCTCGAGTACATTGGCTGCTGAGTCAAAGGGAACTGTGAACTAAGCAAAATGAATTTCTCAACTCCTTCTATAACAGTCCAGGAAGGCAACACTTTTTTCCACTTTCCCCAAAATAATCTCCTAAATAACCCATTGGGGCAGTTTCACAGGACTAGAGTGCAGAGGTTTTTTTTAATGATCACCTTTCCAAACTGATCCCAAATGATTCATCAGCCGTCTTCCTCGGCAAGTGGGCAACGCTGCTTTTTTCTCCCTCCAATTAAGTCTGGCTCTCTTCCTAGCAGTTTGTCTCATTAAGAGTGACTACCAAAAAAAAACTATCTTCATAACCGTTTCAACATTTTGTGTGCACCAGTTTTACTACATCTTACTGAAGTGCCAAATCAAAATATAAGTGCTATAAGTATTATGAGGCACTCAAAAATCCAGCCAAAATTAGAAATGGAAAAGATAAATTTCATTTGCCACAATTGTTGTTTGTTATATATCCATCCATTTTCTTCCCCTTAATCCATTTCTGGGTCGGGGGGGTGGCCAGAGATACCACCCAGTACACAGAGCACCAGCCCCTCACTGATCCTCCTGCAGGTGGTGAGTCCACAGGAGCTGAGATCTTTCAGTGGGAGCTTCAGGCAAAGTGGGGTTAAGTGTCTTGCCTAAGGACACAACGTCAGCAGTCATCAGTGGGAGTCGTGAAGTAGGTCTTACGGTCTCACGACCTTCAGGCTCAAAGGCCAATGCTCTACCAACTGAGCTACTGTCGCTCATACATATGCTCAAACAACATATGTTTGTTATATATATGTTTGTCAATATATTGCACATTATATCATTCATTTAGAGTCATGTTTTTTTATCTGAATCAATCCATTAAAGAGGCTGCAGTAATATTTACATTTTAAATAACATCTACATCGTTTATATGTGTCTCCAGATACAAGCTATTTTTAATTGGAAAAAAAGAAAATAATAACATTTTTTAATTCATAATACATAGTGTTTGTACCATTTCTAGCTAAACTTCAGCAGGTGGATGCTTCAGTAATCTGTGCTTAGAAGCTACATGTGTTACAGGCAGGTTAGATTCTTGCAACAAAAGTTGGATTTTAATTAAAATGACTCTATGCATACAGTTAAGTGGAAGTTCTGTTTCAAGGAGTTAAAATAAACAGGACGGGGAATAAAGTGTTAAAGTTTTTAACAGACGTGTTAAAATACAAATTAAAATGATGTGAAATACAATTCTGGTAATGTTGTGGGTAGGAAAAACTGAAGCCTTATAATCCTGGAACAGTTTTAGAAAATGAACCTCTTATTATTAGGCTCTGGATTTTTGTTTGAAAAGGCAAAGCTCTCAATTTAGCGGCAATGGTCATGAGATTTGGTCATGAGTCAAAGGGACAAAGGTTCCAAAATGAGTTTCTGCCACAGAATGTTGTATCTTGTATCAAACTACATTGGATATGTCATAAATATTATTGTATTTAATCTTGATTGGATGATGGTGAAAAATAGAACATCTTCAAGGTCATGGAAAAATAATCAAAGTTACTTCATTTGGCACCAGGAGTTGTGCTGAGATTATGAGTTGTCAAGACCTGGACTGAGCCAAGATGGTCAAAATGTCAGCCCCACCATGGGCCACTCACACTCAACAAACACCTGACCCAGTTTTGCACACGTCCAACCAAAAGGAAGAGAGACAGGCACACCGAGCCTGGAAAAATGAACATCAAAATCCCCATCCCTGTCTTGGCAAATGTATGCATAAGCGCAAGCCATGGCGTTCCCCCTTCCAAATTTACCCAACCTACTTTTCTTTGCCACGGCTCATTTTCACAGTAGCCAGGATTGAGAATTAGACAGCAGCTGTTAGAAAATCCTGTTTGAGGCCGTACATTAGTTGCAGTTTTTTGCAGCATGAAATCAAGAGGTATTTCTCATGGGGATTTATACAGATTCAAAGATTATCATAAACTTTTTTGTATAATCTCTCACATTCCTTGACAGCATGTCACAGCTACCGATGACAGAATGTTAAAATGTTGGGATCTACATTTATAATACAATATATACGCATACTTTATAGATTCATATTGCAACAACACATTTAATGTATTTCTTTCATTTAGAATGCTAATGTAAGTATCAAACATCACAACCACTAAACGCCCACACAGTGATGCTTTAAAATGTTTTAAGCAATATCTACCCTCAACTCTCATTTTAGGGCAACCTTTTTGTCGCATATATTTTTAGGAGCAGAGGTCACAGTCATATGTGTTTATTATTATTATTTATGTGCAATATACTGTATAAAGAGACGTGTACTGGTTCAGTTCAATTTTCTTGGCAATGCAAACTGTAAAGCCATTTACAAATTTCAAAACAGCTGGCTCCAACTTTAGACCCCAACAAGAACATAACCAATTGGCTCGGTTTACTTTTCCATTTGGCTCCTGTTAGCTCCACAGAATTGGCTTACACTGTGCCACAAGGCTGCCCTCTTTCTCCCTCACATTTTCTGTTATTACCTCTCTCCTCTCTTCCCCCCTTATATACTAACAACTCCATCAACACACACCAACACAGACACACACGGGAGATACACACCACGCACACACACAATACATATATTAATGAAGAGAAACACGGCAGGCAGGAAACACAACTGAATATGTGTTCTTTTGCGTGTACAGTTGAGCGTAAGGAGCCGTGCTAATTGAAATAGATTGCGTTTGATGAGGGAGTATCAAAGTTTAATGGTCCCAAAGGACAACAACAGGGGATAAAGAAAGGGCAAGGATGACATGTTTGTAAAGGAAGGAATAGAGAAGCATGTGTATGAAAAATGAATTCCAAATGAAGCATCTCGTCTCACACTAAGAGGAGCAACCTAGTTTTTATGCTTTTTAAGTGCTACTCAAATCCAAACACGTAATCTGGAAATAGGCATCACTATTTGAATCTTAATTCTCAATATCCATACCACCAATTTAGGTCACGGGTGTTCCAATATGTTAAGTCGTGTTCCACATTGTACAGTAGTTTCAATGTATCATGTGGTTGTAACAAAGGATATTTGACTATGATGATATAGGTACTACACAAATGTAAAAAGTGTATTATGTTTTCTTTTGAGGTTTCTTCTAAAAAAAAAGAGTGTAAAGCACTTTAAACACTTCTTGCTTCTTTAGCATTTTGTTACAATTTACAATACAATGTATTCTTGTATAGCCCTAAATCACAACAGTCATCTCAGAGGACTTGTTCTTATTAGAAGAACCTTCTAGGCCTTAAGGTACTACATACAATAGAAAACGGCTCTATAAAGTAACAGATTGAGAGATCAAATACACCACAAAGGGTCCTGAGAACAGGAGGTGGGGTGAACAAACGGTGTCTCAAAAATAAATACAAATTTTACCACTCAAGTCTTGAACAGCCAAAATATTTTCCTCATAAAATAGATTCAAATAAATTCAAATAAAGGCAACATTTTCACATTTGATCACAAACAAAACAAATAAATACCAAACCAAATCATTGACTGATCAATTTTTGATTACCTGACAGACATGGAAAATTCCCCGGGTGCACTCTCGCTTTCCCGAACCAAAAAGGCGCCGCACTCTCTGTGTCTGAGCCGGCTTTCTGCCACTCCGCGAGATATCCGCCCGGCAAACCAGCTGGGGGTACGAAAGACAAGACAGGAGAAGATTAGCACTGCTGAGGTGTAGATAAAGTTCAAAACACACACATGCTGACAAAACAAAACAAGAAAGGAAATGGTGTAGAATTATAGAATAGTGACGCGCAGGGCTTAGTTTTGGGGTTGCTTTGTAAATGTATGCATGGAAACACTGTGACGATAGCTAGAAGTGTAATGTTTTCATATTTTCATCTTTGGCTAATTACCCTCGTGCCAGCTTGGTTTGTCATCGCAAATAAAGCTGCGTTTTGATCAAGAAAAAAGGCTGTAATTCCTTGAGGTTAAAGAGAAGTTCCTTTCATGTAATACCGTCTTGTGCATGCGGTATTCAGCGTTTGAAACACATCAACTCGTGCAAAGTGTAGCATAGAAAATTGTGTTACACTTGCTATGGTCTGGAGGGTTGTTGTTTGTGAGATAGCTATATTTATTTTGTAGAAAAACCTTTTGACAGCAGGCTCTTGAAAAACAGTGACATAGTGATGCATTAGCTCATTTCTATTATTCCATTGAGCAAATCACAATCTTCATCACAGTCTAAATAATGTGTGAAGAGGCAAACAATATAGAACAAAAATACAAATAAGCAGTCCAAGATTAAGATGAAGAGATCCTTTAAAAAGATCATCATAATAATATTGATAATAATGCATTGTTTTATATAGTACTTTTTTGGGCACTCTGAGACGCTTTTGTTATTCTTTCACTCCATATAAGGTGGTGAGTAACTACTACAGTAGCCACAGCTGCCCTGGGGCACACTGACAGAAGCGAGACAACCAGCTGCCCCTGGTGTTCACAGGTCTCTCATCACAGTACTGCCGAGGTCCTGCCCGGCACAACTTCTGAGGTCTGATGGGATCGGGCTTTCGCATTCAAGTTGGCTACATTATGAAAGCAATTGAATTTGTATAAATGATCACAAATATTGAACATTGGACATACAGTTCTTGAAAGTTTAGACACCAAGCCATAGATTTCAATGTTTTTGGTCATATTTTTGAACACTTTTTCACTCATTATTAGGGGTTGTGGAAAGCCATGAATCAAATAAATGTGTTTTCTATTTCAAAATTATGACATTAAGCTGGGGGGGATCTCAAATATACAGTTCATGCAAGGCAGGCCAGGAATTTATGGGAACTGGAGCCTCTTTTCCAAGAATAATGGGCAGCTTTACAGGAAGGATCAATAACGTCATCCACAACCTCCACACATGTTCCCCTTTGTCATAGATGTTAAAAGGGAAAACACAGACTAAAGTTTATCTACATGCCTACACACAGAAGCACACATCTCCCTGGGGTCTTCAACAACCTCAAATGAACTCTGGACAGGACAACCCTCTAGCCCCATCCCTTTCCATTACCGTACTCTAAAGACACTCTGATATTGCGCTGCCAGATTGCTGTTTATCACAATGGGGGAGTAGAACCCAGCTGGTATAAATGAGCGTCTGAGAGACACGGGGTGCACCAGCTAATATCACATGACCGCACACACATAGACACACACACACGCACACGCTGTTGTATGGCATTACGTAAGCCGAGTGAGTGTAAGTCCCTATGGGGGGCCAGCGTGATGCCAGAGTGCAGATGTCCAGAGCCTAACGAACTAAAATTCCCTCAAGCACTTGCTGTTTACATAGACAAGTGATGTGTGTGGGTAAATTCTAATTTTCTCTATAGCTCTGTGGATGTATTGTTTGTAATAAGATCAAGATACTATACTGTAATGTTTGGATAGATTCATTTCAGGCTACACATTCATAAGAACTTACAATTTCTACTGTTACAAACATGCCCTACACAGTAAAACAATCTAAATATAATTGATTTACCAAATATAGAAGACATGTAGTCTATTGGTTTAAATAGTTGTTTTAATTAGGCCTCGAATTATTTGATTACAATAACTGGTTACCTATCTATAGAAACTTGAAACCATATTAAACACTAGTAACCTTTAAATGCATGGAAATAGCAGCGTGGTTTCCTGTGGCGACCACACTGCAATGCACTTTAGCAGGTTTTTTTTAAATGTAAAAAGAAAAGTTACTGCATATGATATATAATAATTATAAATGATAATTGTTTTGCAAATAAAAGGTTAATTGATTACTTGATTGAGGTATTCAATGATAGATTACAAAAACTCGATAACTTTTAATATACTATTAACGTGCTTAAATGTGTGAACTAGAAAGACCGAGACAAGAAGGAGCGCTACCTCAGGGCCTTCATCCCCACCGCTGTCAGACTGTACAATAAGTTACTTTAAGACAAATGACCTGCACTAGGACTGAAATACCAGCACTGCTATAGCTACTTTTATGGTACATAATATATCCTGCATGGACTATATTTTTAACCTTTTTAACCTTTAACATGTTTGCACACTTCTGAGTGATTCTATCTATGCCAAATGTGTAAATTTCTCCATTGTGATTGCAATTAAGTTAATCTTATTTTATCTTATCTTACTTTGAACAAGGATCAGTGGATCAGCAGCAAATATGCAAGAAATATGCAAGAGAATAAAGATTGATAAAAAATTACTTCAATCATCAATTTTACAGAAGGAAAATTATTGTGGTATTTATAGAACACAATCACATTTGGGATTATACAATAATGAAAATGTAAGATGTTTTTATACCACATATAATTTATTATACTAAAGGATTTACCTTGTTTTATGTGAACATAATCTGAGTGCTCTTATTTCTCCTGTTATTCTGCTGCAATATGCGCACCAGTGACCCTGAAATGTTCTCACTGTAAATAAACAAATAATTACAAAAATCTAATCGTATCTTTTCAGGCCATGTTGACCTTGTGACCTTGGGCAAGACACTTTATATATAAAGAAACCAGTGCTTTGTGATTGTATTTTTATATATTTTTGAAACCCCATTCACCTCATTCTGACAATCCTAACTAGTCACTTTACAAGTCACTTCATTATTACTACATCATAAAATATTCCATTCATCTGATAATTCTGTTCTGATTGTTCACTAGTCACTTTACCTGCTGCTTTTATTGCTATTGTTTATTCCGGTCATATTCTCTGCTGCTTCATTACAATATAAACATCTGCAAATACATCATGATGCTGCTAACTACAATGTATAATCCACAAGTGACTTCATAGTTTCATTTTATTATGTTATTATTTCATTTTATGATCTATTATCTATTATCTTTTATTTTTTAATTTTTTTTGTATACTTTATTTTTGAGTTTTTGCCTTCACAATTCCAGGAGAATATCATAAAAACAAAAAACCTCGCAAGGCAACATTTATAATGAGAGGATTACATAAAATAAAAAAAAACAAAAAACAAAAAACAATTAAAACATTATAATTATTAGTATTATTTGTATTAACATTCTAATATTACAAATAATAAGACAAAATAGTAATGATAATAATAAAGAAAACAATAGTAAAATAAGATGAGAAAAATAATAATAATAATAAAAAAAATAAAAAAATAAAAGAATACATTTTTTTTTAAATCTATTATCTTAAGGAATAGATGTTTGATGTGCAACCTGAGTGCTCTTATCTCCTCCTTTTATTCTGCTGTAATGTGCGCAACGATGACAATGAAGGTTTATCTTATCCCATTGTGGCCAAACTTGAATGCAAAAGCCAGATCCCGTCAGGCCTTTGAAGCTGTTGATGCTAGTGCCTGGTTAGTACTGTGATGGGAGACCTCTGTGAACACCTGACATCACAGTGGGCCGGAATGAGTCTGGTGTGTGTGTGAATGATTGGTGTTGGCTGGAGTTGCACATACTGGTTGTCAGTGTAGCCCGGGGCAGCTGTGGCTACGGTATAGTTTATCACTGCTGTATATGGAGTGAAAGAATAATGCATATGAAGTGTCTGAAAGGTTCTATATTAAACCAATGCATTATTTTAATTATTATTATTATTATTATCTAATCTTATCTCAATCCCACACTCAAACCTGACGCCTCTATACTTACGCATGTGGCCGTAGATTTATGTAGTTCTTCGGTACAAAGCCCTTCCGGTTGTGGAGCTCGGCGGTGTACCAGTTTGGGTCGTCCTCCATGTTGGTTATCTGGGGGAGCGAGACACAATGAAATGAAATGAAATACGTTTCCTAATGACAAAGACACAGACCATCACCATTCATCCAGCGAAAGGCCACGTTCAGTCTGCATATCTATCTCCGAGCTGCTCATCTTCCATTATCCGCTACACTGCTTTTTCATCCTTCTTTCTGCGTTCGGACGTTTCTCAAGTCATGGAGATTTCGACAAGCTGCGGATTACTGCCAAGTTGGAAAGGCCACATAAAGTCCTCCGTGATTACGCACACAATTGCTAGTAAATCCTGTGACGCCTGATCCACATAAACCCATGTAGCTCAAGCAAATGTCATCACTATTGAGTGTTGTGGCGTTGATATAAACAAACATGTGTGTGGTTCATATCTCTCAGATCTAAAGGTTTGCGGCCAGAAAGAAGAGTTAGTCTTTACTCATGCTTGAACTGAAACTGAGAAAGATGTGCATATACTGTACTTCACAAATAGCTACTAGAAAAAACTTGGACCAGAAACCTTGCTGTGAGGTTATAAAATGAATAGATAAAACAGATAGAAACAAAACATGCCTTCCAATTTACCCCTTTACCAAGTAAAGAGGTAAATTCAAGTTTAGTGAAAAGCCAAATCTATTGCAGCCATATAAATACATTTTCACCAATTCTTGAGGAGATTCTTTCAAAACAACAATGTGTCAAAAAGAAATACAACTTTTTGACCAATGTTCAAAACAGAGATTTTCATGTTTTTGCAAATGAGCTCTTCAAATATATATGATACAAAAAAACTGCTTTGGAGTCAAACTTGACAAACATAAACCAATGCTAATGAATTGTTTTAGATAAATAAGACAATATTCCAAATCAAGCGGTCCTGCTGTCACTGTAAAGAATTTCCTTGTAGAAAAACGGTAAATAGCTGGCAAATATGGTTCCAGGAATTTACCGTTTTCTCAACATGGCATTACCGTTGCTAATTTTAACGGTTAAAGATTGTTTCACTGAATCACATTATACCTTTGTGATTTCAGGATTTAACTGTATGTTCCTGTTAATTCACATACTGTACATCAAAAACAGCTTTATAATGTTCATTTTGTGTTATTACACCATGTGACTGTTTCTGTTTCTAATTAGTTTCATTGAACAAAAACTACGCAGTTTAATTTGTTTTACTTTAATGAACACATCTTTTCAATTATTTTTAACATCTTCACTTTATACAAGAAAGTAGTAGAAGTCTTTACTTCTTTAACATGCTTATTGCAAAAAGACCATTTTAACTAAAGCAGGAGTTTACATGTGTAAGAGGTACCTCTTACACTCATGGTTGCTCACTAGCAACAAAGTTTATGTTAAATTACGATAATAATACCATAAAATCACAAAGTGATTATTAATCACATTATGATTTTATGGTATCGCAAAGTTTTATTGTAATCACATTATAATTGTGGTAATAAAACGCCACTGGAGGTTTTTTAACCAATTTATACTTAAATTTGCATGTTTGAATTGTTTTTCAAAATAACATTTGTTTAATGTTGAAATTTCATTGTAATTTTACAGAAATGTGTTACAGTGTGGGATGAATGTCTCCCATCTTACTGCATGACAGGCATCTCCCTCAGCCTCAAAATCCATCGGTTCATTGAACAACCGAGCTATATCTAAATCAGGGGTCTCCAACCTGTGGCTCGGGATCTACCAATAGCTTTCCATCCCTGTTCAGGTCGCTTCCTAAAGGATTCAAAAATTTAACACATGATCTTGACTGATTCACTTTGGTGTAATTAAATATCTAAATACAAATGTCTTCATTATTGCAAGGATACTGTAGAGTATAATGGTATATTTAACGTGTATGTTCTCCATGACTGGCTGTAGTTATTATATAGACTAAAATTCTATTACGACTGCTAATACCTTTTAACTCTAAAAAGTTTGGAGACCCCTGCTCTAAAATATAGACAAAAAACAAATCTGTTTACCATCACTGCAATATATTGAGTTTTGAAAGCTTTACTAAATTACATTATCTAAAACTAACATTCAAATGTATTTATAGCGTTGCATCAAGCTATTTTATACAGAAACAAAACAGCTCCTCCCACAACAACTGTGCAGAGAATCACGCCGCTGTAGAACCATGTTGTTGAACTCACTCTTAATGACTTTAACTGTACATCAGAGTTTAAATTATTCACATTAAGACTCAAGTTGTGGCTTATAACGAACCAAAGCTATAGTCACTTGTATATAATGTGCCTACTGATGCGAGTGCAGTATGATGAATATACGAGACAGTGTGCATCTCACATATGGCAGTGTGTTTGAAGATCGGAATGTGTAAATGTTGGAGCACTGTTGTAAATATGTCTTTTATAAATTGTATAATTAGCATGTGTAGTATATGTATGGAGAAGCTCAACCCTAAGCAGGAGTTCAGAATTAGTATTTGCTATAACTCTCTGCATTCTCAATTGCATATTTTGCTGTAACTGTGAATGTATTGTCTCTGTCACATAAACTAATTGACAAAAAAAAAAAGTAAAAACCAGTATATGAATTCCTTTGTTTGTTATCATGTCGATGATTTTGGCTACAGTGCATTTTCAAAATAATCTTTCTTTCATTTTAGTTTTTACGAGCTGTGAGCCAATTATCAACATGGTGTAATGAGTCACATATAAGTGTCACATTTTAAGTTAAATTGCAAAAGTTTATTTTACAATTTCACATGTAAACTACTTGATTCAGTTTTTCAAATTCTTACATAACAATAATATTACTGTCTTTTTTATATGCTATTATTTCCATTCTATCCTCTGTGACTCATCATCCATTTTAATCCATTTCATTGGCTTTGCTTGCATCATCAAGTAATCCTTTTATCTTGCCCGTAAAAAACACAATATTGTTGGTTGTTTTATGCCTAAGAATAATATCTACCTAACCCGCATGACTAACAGCTACCGGTGAAATATAGCAACACTTGGCTTGTCGAGAATGCTTGCCTGACAAAAGAGCTTCTGTTTGGCCATGCTTTATTTCATGCACCAGCTGTTTGTACGCTCTGCCTTATAAATCTATGGCTACGAACATAATCGGTCCATCAATCATTCCTCTGTAAAACATGGGTATAGTCAATTGGAGCTGCAACAAAGGATTGGTAAGTGAAACATTTTGCACTGCAGTTCTACATTTGGAAGCTTTGACTAGCATAGGGATTTTCACTTCTGCAAATGATCAGGGCAAAGGCCTTCAATTTCCCAACTGAACTGTTGAGTGTGTAGCTCCTAAGTTACATACCGTTACATACTGTTTGGTCATTCACCGGGGTCTCATTTATTGAAGAGCTTTAAGTTGTACATGAAAGTGTGCATACTGTGAAAACGCACATGAAACAAAACTTGTGAAATTTCCTGTCATGATCCCCCCTAAAGCCCGCCCTCTTCACACTTCCAGTTCACCATGCAGAGTGACTTTATGAATTGAATTAATTAATTAATATACAGTACATATAAATGAGGTGATTATGAGTGAGTTTGATTGACTTATTCTAAACTCAGAGGGAGGCAATCAGAAACAGTTCAGATAGACCAGGAACTTTCATTTAAACATGTGATATTCAATGTTTTATTGAAGTGGCTCATGTTCATTATCGCCTAGAGTGTAGAACAAACGCAGAAATTCAGTGTTATACACACGTGCATGTGTGTGTGATCCGGCACAAGTGGCATTTTATATATTTATTTTTTAACATTGTTTGCTGTGTTTGTAGTGTTTTTATACTTGTTTTATCTTTGCAGTGTATTTATTTATTTATGACATGCCACCGCTTTTTATCACACGACCCGTCCACATGACTTGTCCCATCACTGCGCAATTGTACACACCTGTGCCTGGCGCGAGAGGGAGGAATAAGAGACAGAGGAGGGACGCAACACAAAAAAGAGATCAGGTCGGAGAGGTCAGAGAAAGAGGTCAGGGGATCGCAGCTGTGGGCCGAGGGCCCGAGGGGGATTGCGCCCCTGGGCATGACGGGGACCGCATCAGAGAATTGCAGATGGACCAACATCAGGAGCATGAAGTAGTGGACAAAGGACAGGTCGGAGAAATCAAGGACGGACGGAGCTGAAGGGAGCAGCGGCCACTGTAACGAGGGGTAGACGCCACATGCACTGGGGACGACGCACGCGCTGGGACCGCAAGTACTACGAGGCGATATACGCGCAGGGGCAGAGGAGGACTTGTGTGAGTACCCTTCGGGCACGTAGTATTACTTGTCGGAAGACACTGACTCAAGAAACATCGTGTTGTGAACATTTGACTGCCGATAGTTTGTCTCCGCGTAGGTGTTCTAGCGTGCAGAGGAGGAGAGCCAGCCGGGAGGGATCGGGACTGAGTGAAGGAGTGTTGTGACGCGGACTACACGCAGGGGCAGAGGAAACTCTGCCTTGTGTGTAAGTATTGTAGCGACACTCCACCCTCGTAGCCTCAGGCCCTGTAGTCTCGGACCCCTGTGCTGGTGTTTTGTTTTGTATTCCCAGGTGACCCGGTGTGCGTGTGGAGAGGGACCGCTCCCGAGGACAGCACGTTGCACGTTCTTGGACTGTCGTTTTTAAGTATTTTTAGCCGCTTTGTGTTTATGGACTTTTAGTACTCGCACATTCTATATGTGGACAATTTTATCTTTTTTTTTTGTAAATTTAAATTACAAATCTCTGTCCTCCCTTGGCAAATACAGTGTGCTCTCCCCCGGTCATCTCCCCCATATACAATAGACCCTCTCTGGTTCGCGCATTATTTCGCGCAATCTCCATAACTCCCCCTTTACATGTGTGTGTCGTGGTGGTGTGTGTGATTATGGTCAAATAGGCTGGAAACGAGCCAGAAAAGCGTGCTTGTGTCGCACATATCAACTTTTATAGATCACAGACTTTATAGGTCCCTAATGGGGTTATATGATTTTTGTGTATGTTTCGACAAAGGATAGTTTGCCATTTTGATGGATCCAACACATTTTAACTGCCTTATCTTGGTTGACACAAATAGGTGAGTTTAGATTTGTGATGAGTTGTTGAATGCTTATGTTTTTCAGCAATAAAAAGAAAATAATTTCAAAGACATGACATTTCCAGGGAAACAAAGCCTTCATATTAAAACTTCACTAGATGTTATTCTTTACTTCTCAATCATCTGTCAAGAATTCTACATATAGTCTCTCAGTAGAGCTAACTCCTTTCTCATGCTCTCCATCTCCTCCTCTTCACCATCACAAGGATTTCAGAAGATTTTTCCCTCAGAAAATCCATATCATACTATCTCTTCATTGCACTACTGGCCTTTCCACCTGTCAGGGCCTATAGAAACGATTTATCACACCCACGCAGTTTCTATGGTGTCTTCTCTTGTCTTTTACTTTTTAGTCTTAGACATGTATGACCCTCTGAATCAAATTAATATTAATAGTTTAGTGGAAGAAGAGAACACACTGGAAGTTTGACAGTTGTTAATTGGTTGGCAGTTTTCTGTTATTTCCTACTTATAATTTCACATCATACATTAACATAAACGTGGACAGGAAGCATTCTATTGTATTTCTAGACGACCTGAGCCTACCACTCTTGGTTCATTCGTCACATTGTAAAAAAACAAAAACAAATCTTCTGTCTGTCTGTTCTATGGATTTCAAGGGATTACTTTTCCTGGCATACAATTGCAAAAGGAAAATTAATATTGCAAATATACATTCAAGATCATTCTATGTAATTATTGTTAGAATTATAATCTTCTAGATGTGTACATTCTTTATGAATTGAAAGGAAATACTTTCTCAAAAAATTGCTTCAAATAACAAACAAAAAAAACATTTATGGAGCCAAAATAACCGCATAATCGACAGCTTGTGATAAAACCATTGTAACTTTTCAAAGCAGACTACATGAGACAAACGCTATATTTAGTGCGAGCCCACGCATACTCGACCTCACAGATCTAATGCCACACACACACAAAAAGACCGAAAGGACGAACGACAATAGGCATTGATCAAGTGTTGTGTGAATAGAATAGAATAGAAGGCTGTTGGGGAAAAACAGTTTGAGATGAAAAAGCGCTGAAGTGCTAAGAGCTGCTATGTGCGTTGTAAAGCCAGTCGTCTGTTTCTGCCTGGATGCTAATGTGTGGAATAATTTATCAGCACCGGTGTTTGACCTGTGGACCTGAAGGAAAGGCAATGTGTTGTATATGGTATAGGAAGACATGCAACCAGCTGATTGATTTATCAGCTGGTTGAGTCACCGGAAACTCAGGCATACCTTGCTAGAGGACTTTTTTTCTCCGTCAATGAAAACATTTGATGAGTTCAGAATTGAATTATTAATGCTCATTTTTGGAGCACTACATATGCACTTTTTCCTGGAATGGTAGGATTACAATAAATGAATGGGCTATTGATGTCACCAGCCCTGATCTCATTAGATCAGAACAATATATTGTTGTCGATGTATTTTTGAAGTTTTTCTGTTGCAATATGCAGAGAGAGAATGTGTCCTTCAAAATTGAGCTACTAAATGTACTGGTTGAAGTCAAAGGCTTGTATTATACATAAAATCACAAATTGCAAGCACAAAAATGCAATAATTATAACAGTATATGAATATTTGAAAGCTATTACCTGTATGATTTATAATTGAATTGCTGATTTTCAGTAATCAAAAAAGACGGGTCACATTTGACCATAATATAGTAGACTTACCATCTATCTGATCTACGTTAATTTGTGTCAAGCTGAATTTAACTTCAAATGCAACAGTCCTCGTGACATCAATCATCTGTTTCAAAATTAAGTGATCCAACTTAGGCTTTTGATCGGATAATCAGATACCATAAACAAATGCCAATGTCAACACCTTAAATATCAGGAAGGACTATTTATGCTCCTTGGATGGTGCTTCTTCAGCCGGTTACATCTGCATCCAGCCCTATATCTTTCCATAGTTCTACCTATTTTACCTTTATGTTGTGACTTTACATGTGCCTGTGTGTGTGTGTGTGTGTGTAGGTGCGTGCCTCTGTATGGTCTGTATGCATGTGGATGTATAGTTTTTAATAAATGTAGTTTTGGGTGGGTCTGTGGGGCGGTGGGGTTTAGGGGTGGGCATCTTGGATGGTTTTTAACCAAACTGTAAAGCACTTTGTGTTACATTTTTTGTATGAAAAAGCGCTCTATAAAAAAAAAATTGATTGACTGATTGATAACCAATATGAAATAGTGCTAGGCAAGTTTATTTATGTATCACAGCTCATTCATACACAAGTCAACTCAAAGTGCATAACAAAACAAGATAGAAACAATCATACCAGGATTTAAAATCATAATCACATTAAATCATACATAAAAACGGGTGAATCTGATATAGTCATGTTGTATGCACAGCTATACAGAACTGTTTTTAACCTGGACTAGAGTACTTTCAACCTGCAAGATTCATTGATGTAGTGACTGTGTATTTGAACAGCTTTGCTGCAACTACCATTATCAATTTTAATATATATTATAATTACTAATCAATCTCAGAATTATTTTTGTCTCTTATTGATGCTTTTAAGCTCTTGCTCTTATACAAGGCATTTGCTTTGGGACACTACAACTCTAACACTAAATAGATGTAACGCTAGTTTTATTTGAACACTATGGCTGAGATGACTCTTCACTTCTACATTGGTGCATATCAAATTATCGACAAGTATTATACTCATTGCTACATTTCATGAATGTGAAATGCATCGTGACAACTACTTCACTGCTCCCATGCGATGAAAGCAAACGTATGTACAAACATGACGGTAACTGGCCGGTAACTTCCGTTAATATAATAGATCCATGGTAACTTCTGAGAAACACACCAGGGAGCTAGACAACTCAGCACTTAAAACAAACAGCTGTTTCATTGCTACATGAGAAGCTGCGTTCGTGAATTCTTGGAGATGCAATTTTCTACCAGAGCAATCACCCAGCTGTGCGTGTTATTTCCGTGCTATATTTACTATGGCTCTCACGGAGGCAAGTGTCATTGTTGGGTTGAATAAGACAAAACCAGGAAGCGACGTCAAAACATGCATATGTCACTTTGCAACCATAACACACATATCACACCAAGAAAGTTGTTTGTAGAGCCAGGTTTTGTCTTGACTTGCGGTAAACTAGGACCAGCATCTAATATTCTGGCTGAAAAAAAGATCGCTGATGTAACTTCTTGAATAGTTTTAGCTACAAGACATGAACTAGTCACACACCTCTTTTGTGTTGAATATTGTGCCTCTACTGCTAATTTTTACTGTCAAACGCAGGCAGAAACACAATGGGATGGACATTCTATTGCGTTTAAAAAAAATGTGAATATTTTTGTGCACATTTGCAGATAATAATTATCTTACCTTGAGCATATCCCCCTTGTTGAAACTTAGTTCATCTCCCTCCGTGGCCCGAAATGTATAAAGTGCTACTGCTTCCATGCTGACTTTCCTACTGCGGACACCCCAATGAAGCCCCAATGACAGGGGATGGGGCAAAATGAATGCAAAAATTGGTTTAAATAGAAGAGATATTTTACTGAGGGGGAAAAAACGTGTATGGGTAGAATTGGTGGATGCGATGTGAGAGAGCGCGGAGGATGGACTAGCTGGCTGCTGCTCGGCAACGCTGCCATGAGTAATGCTGAGAGAGAGGGAGGGAGAGAGATGGTCGAGCAGACGGGGGAGAGAGACAGAGGGAGTATGTGGGAGGCACTTCCTGTGTGTGTATATTTGTCTCATGCAATCTGTGTGGCTTCTGTGGACATGTTCTTTGAGCGCTTTTAAGCCACGGTGAGAAGTACAATTAAATGATGTTGTGTGATAGCTAGACTTGCTCTTGGTGCCAGTAAAATTCCTAGGCCAGAAATCATGAAGCTGCTTTGACTAACAAGTGGTGACTGTTGAGGTGAGGAAATATTTGAAAAAAAGATATAAAGGACTTGTAGGTAAGTAAGTAAGTCATCTTTATTTATATAGTGCATTTTTACAGACCAAGGTCACACAAAGTGCTTGACAATGTCCAGAGTTCAAATGTTGTCCATTCTCTCCACACACAGTGAATACGGAAGCGAGACACCAAACACACTGGGACATCGAAACCTCAGCCAACACCATCCATTCACTAACTCATTACATTCATACCTATTGTGCATGTTTTTAGTGGTAGGAGGAATCATAGCACCCAAAGGAAACCTACGCAGACACAGGGAGAACATGAAAACTCAAAGCAGAAAGGCCCTGTTCTGACTAGGATTCAAACCCAGAACCTTCTTGCTAAGAAGTGAGAGTGCTTTGGTTTGGAACAGAAATTTGAAGGATATTTGGCTCTTTGATGTCCATTTTAAACTGGGGTGCAATGTAACAGTGTGTCTTGCTTTCAAAACAGTTTGGTCCCATTACTGGTTTGTCCATGCATGTATTTTTTGCCTCTGTCACATTATGGAACAGCTTTATCAGACTGTAAAGTAAGAAAAAAAGGACCACCTTCAGCCCAAAGCGTCCTAGACAGCAGGTTGTGGTTTGATTAATTTTAGGCTGTTGTACTAAGTTAGGTTCTATCAGCCTGTGAGGCAGGTCGGCCGTGAGCGGGTCGGAGTGCAGTTAAAAGCAATTTAAAAAACAAACAGGTCGCCGTGGTCCACATATTTTTACTTGTTTTTGGTTTTTCAATAAAAAATACAAAAACGTTGCAAACAGGCAATAAAGTGCTATTGTGCAAATGGAGTCCTTCTTCTCCAGCAGCAGAGGCAAGGCAAGGCAAGGCAAGTTTATTTATATAGCACAATTCATACACAAGGCAATTCAAAGTGCTGAACAAAACAAGAAAGCATTAAAATCATAAATAATCACAGAACATTAAAAAGAAAGATAAAAATATAAAATCCCTCCGTTGTATGCACAGCTAAACAGAACTGTCTTTAACCTGGTTTTAAACATTGTTATTGAGGAGGCCTGTCTCACATCTTCAGGAAGACTGTTCCAGATTTTAGCAGCATGAATCTGAAAAGCAGCCTCCCCATGTTTAGTTCTGACTCTGGGCACTAACAGGAGTCCAGTCCCTGTGCTCCTCAGAGTCCGGGCTGGTTCATATGGTACTAACATGTCACTAATATATTTTGGTGCAAGGCCATGGAGAGACTTGTACACAAGCAGAGCTGTTTTAAAGTCTATTCTCTGAGCCACAGGAAGCCAATGTAGAGACCTGAGAACTGGACTAATGTGGTCGTACTTCCTGGTTCTAGTCAGGACTCGACCTGCTGCATTTTGAATGTACTGCAGCTGTTTTACTGGTCTGCTCACAGGTCTGTTTTGTTTGGACAGACCTGTGAGCAGACAATTGCAGTAGTCTAACCTACTGGAGACAAATGCATGGATAAGAATCTCCAGGTCTGCTTTAGACACTATGTTTTTGATTCTGGCAATGTTTTTTAGATGGTAAAAAGCTGCTGATGTTACTGATTTGATGTGGCTATTAAAATTTAAGTCTGAGTCCAGTATTACCCCTAGATTTCTGACCTTGTTTGAAGGTTTTAGGGAGAGAGACTGTAGGTGACAGATGACGCTCTCTCTTTGTTTCTGGGGACCAAAGACAATCATTTCAGTTTTGTCTGCGTTTAGCTGAAGGAAGTTGTTTTGCATCCACTCACTGATCTGTTGGATACAGTGGAGAAGTGAGTCCACTGGTCCATGTTCTCCTGCAGTCAGTGAGACATAGATCTGAGTGTCGTCTGCATAGTTATGATAGGAAACTTCGTTTCTGCGTATTAACTGACCTAACGGCCGGGCAGCATGTAGCGATTGAACAGAAGAGGTCCCAGGATCGACCCCTGTGGTACTCCACAGGTCAGGGCCATATGATTTGAGACACAGTTTCCAATCTCCACAAAGTACTTCCTGTCTTCAAGGTAAGACCCAAACCAACTTAGGGCGGTGCCAGCGACGCCAACCCAGTCCTCTAATCTCTGCAAGAGGATCTCATGGTCGACAGTAGGCAGCACTTAGATCTAACAAGATTAAGATTGAGACTTTGCCTGTGTCAGTGTTCAGCCGGATATCGTTTGTAACCTTAACGAGAGCAGTCTCAGTGCTGTGGTAGAGTCTAAAGCCGGACTGAAACATATCAAATGAGTTGTTGATTATAAGAAATCTAGTAAGCTGTAGGTGGACAACTTTCTCAAGGAGTGAAGGTAACAGACTGCTCAGAACAGACTTCAGAAATCTAGTGGGTAGTACATCCAAGCTGCATGTGGAGGAGCTCAAACTGGAGATTATCTCTTGGACAGTTTTATCATTTACAGGTGCAAAGTGAGTTAGCTCAGAGAGCCTTTTTGGCTGTTGGATGGTTATCTGTGGATTGGAGACAATGGCGTTTTTGATGCCTTCAATGCCTTGTCATTGAAAAAATTCAGTCAGAGCCCAGACTGATGTTTCCTGTGTCCTTTTATCTGGTGCAGATTGCTGGGTAAAACCATAGACTGTATATATTAATGGACAGAGTCACGCCTATCTCCACCGTTCTAACTAATGGGCCAAAAAATGTGCTCTACTGGAGCAATCCAAAATGGCCGCGAGTGGTCCCGCCCACAAGAAAATTGTGAAAAAATGCATCTGCGCATGCGTCAGCCAGCGCAACTCCATTCATTTGAACGAGAGATTAAAAAAATTCACAGCAAGTAAACTAGAGTGGACCAAAAAAATCCACCCCCCTCAGCATTGACACACATGTGGAACGGAGCTTTGGGCCAAGAGCCAACGTTTGGTCCATCCTGTAAAGACGTTTTTGAGAGGTCTGCCAATGCTATATGTTAGCATTGGCTAATTCTACTTCTGGGTCCACCCCCATCGGCCCGGGGTGGTATTGCAAGCATGTCAGCGCACGTCATTTTGGCCACTTTTGAGCTGGGACCCTCCCCCACTGGGTAAAACCAACTTGTAAAAGCAGGGGTGTTAAAATATGCTTATTTTTTATAAAACAACTTAAAACTCCATTTACAAAACCCAAACCCATAACCCACCTACCATTTATACAAAAACCCTAAAAGAAATTCCATGTAGTCTTGTGGCCCGGAACCACAAAACGGGAACTCGTTCCTGGTGGGACCCTTTTGCGTACCGGACACAGAAAAAGGTAAGTACCATGGATCTATAATAATAACTGGATAGGGTATTACTAGCTTACAGCTGTCCCACCTATGGGCACAGAGGGCGCCCGTGGTACTACAGACTAAATTCACAAAGGCTACCAAGAAAAATGTCCCATAGAACTCAATGTAAATTAAAACACGACCTCAGCTGACAGAGAACCTACAGCTTTCATAAAGATCAAATTTTGTGGGGATTTTAGTGTCACTTGTCATCTTGGAACTTTTTTTCTTCTTAAATCCTTCGGTTTTCTTTAAATCCATACTTTACTGCCACAAACTCTGCTCCTCTCCTTCCCGCTCTGGCTCCGCTTTTCCGCTGCTCTGATCAGCAGCTCTGATTGGTCAGAGCGCGGCCGAGCCCCTCTGTGCACGTGCATGAAAGCCACACACGCAAGTTTGGCGCAACGCATCATGGGAGATAGCGCAACGCATCATGGGAGATAATCCACTGCGCAGAACCGGGAGGACCAAACGATACCCAAATATAGGCGAGTTCAGCTAATCTCCTGGTCTACATGAAGTCCCATGCGCTACTGAGCACAAGCCATTCATTTGAATAGGGCGCCATCTTGGATCACCGGGGCTTGGTAAGTACACCCCACACACCACACATATACACATCTTCATTAAACCCATTTAAAATACACCAACACACACACATAAACACTAAAACACTCTTTAACAGATATTGCACCTATTGCACATATAATTTAGGGATTGGTTAAAATGACTTCTTGTTTTCCTTTTCCCTTCAGGGACCGGCTGCAGCCAATCACATGCCAGTATGTCTGGATGAAGACATGGTAAAAAGGAAAGATCTGTTAAATAAATATTCTAAAACCAACTCTGTGCAATGTTCTTTTTGATGTGCAAATATGCTTAAAGTGCTGTGTGCTATAAAGGTGACTTGTGTAACTAAAGTGGCTCAGTGAAGGTGCAAGTGTACTAAGTAACAAAAGTTTGTTACACAGCCCTTCAAGCTTCGCTTTTGCAAATCTCTCTGAAGCACTGCTTCCCGTCCTAAGAAGATCTAACGATCAACCACTCCAAACACCTTGTGTTGGCCAGTCCCCTCTATGAGGGCCCTGCACCCTAGCTCTTCTCCTTTCTCTCTCAACTTGCTTAAGAGAAGCTTCAATCTACGAATTAGGATGTTTTCAAGCAAGATTCCTCCCGTGCCTGATATCGCCTGAGATCTCCTGAGGTCTCCTCCTTTATTTGCCCGTC